CCAGCCCCTCATCCAGACTGGCCAGGCACCCCAGCGGGCCCCCCACCCGGATCCAGGACATCCTTCAGGGCAAACCAGCCAGCCCCCACCCGTGCATGAGGCCCCTATTTTTTATATAATAAAAGGGTAATATGCAAATTGACCCTAACCCCAGAAACTACTGGGAATGACTGGTCACTATGACACACACTGACCACCAGGGGGCAGACGCTCAATGCAGGAGCTGCCCCCTGGTGGTCAGTGTGCTTCCACAGGGGGAGCTCTGCTCAGCCACAAGCCAGGCTGTCGGCTGCCAGCACAGCAGTGATGGCCGGAGCCTCTCCCACCTGCTCTGCAGCGCTAAGGATGTCCGACTGCAGCTTAGGCCTGTTCGCCGCTGGCAAGTGGACATTTCCAGAGGGCTCCTGGGCTGCCAGAGGGATGTCTGACTGACAGCTTAGGCCCGATCCCCTGGGGAGCAGACCTAAGCCAGCAGGTGGACATCCCCCAAGGGGTCCCAGACTGCGAGAAGGCACAGGCCAGGCTGAGGGACCCCCCGAGTGCACAAATTTTTGTGCAATAAAAGCCTAATATGCTAAGCGTCCAGTCATCTAGTTGCCCATTGAACCAATCAAAGCATAATATGCTAATGATATGCTAAGGCCGCTCAACCGCTTGCTATGACGTGCAGTGACCGTCATGGGGCAGACGCTCCAACCAGTAGGTTAGCTGGCTACTGGGGTCCGCCTGATCGGGACTGAGTGAGATGGGCCGGACGTGCCCTAAAGCCCTCCCGCGGCCCCTCTCCAGCTAGCCACCCTCCCGTGTCCCTCCCCAGCTCCAGTCCTGCACCGGAGGGGTCCTTTGGCCTGACCTACGCCTTCTCGCAACATGGGCTGAGGGACACGCGCCCCCCCCCCCCCCCCCCCCCCCCCCCTCCCCGCGGTGCATGAATTTCGTGCACCCGGCCTCTAGTTGTCAAATAACAGTGGAAAGTTAAAACTGACATGATTGCCTAGCACACTTGCTTTTCAACCTGAAGGACTCCCTTTACCATGTTTAGTGGAAATGAACTCCCTCAACTTCTCTTTTTTGGAGAATGCTTTAATTACTTCTTCTTAATTTTGAAGAACAGTTTTGCCAGATAGAGATTTCATGTTAATAGTTTTTCAGTATTTTAAATATGTTAGTCCACTACCTTTGGCTTCCATGTTTTCTGATTGGAAATTGGCTACTCATTAGTATACCTGTCATGTGGTTTCTTTTTTGTTGCTTTCAAGATTTGGTCACTATTTCGTCAAATGTTCTTTCTATCTTTTCTTCTCCTTCCAAAACTCTCATAATGGATATGTTAGTCCATTTGACTGTATTATTTCAAATGTTCTATTTCAAGATCACTGATTTTTCTGACTGCTCAAACATGCTATTTACTAGTAGCCCCTCTTGTGAATTTATTTCAGTTGTTTTACTTTTCCGCTCCAGAATCTCTCTTTGGTTTCTTTCATACTTTCTCTATTGGTATTCTTAATTTGTTGATACATTGCTTTCTTGGATTTCTTTAATTATTTGTGGCTTCCATTGGCCTTTTCATTGGTTCGCGGTTTTCCCTTTAAGAGAGTTACTATAGAGTGTAAGTTCAAATATTTGCGTTTTCTAAAGGACAGATTCTGTCTATTTAGCTTTTCCTCTGACTATGCCATAACTTTCCTGCTTCTTTGTATGCCTTGTGATACTTTTGATGTTGAAAATTGGACATTTGAATATTAAGCTCTCCCCCTCCCCAGGGCGTGTGCTATTTCTGATTTTTTTTTTTAATTGATTTCAGGTAGAAGAAGGGGGAGGGAGAGAAGGATCGAAACATCAGTGATGAGAGAGAATCTTTGATTGGCTGCCTCATGCACACCCCTTACTGGGGATCGAGCCCACACCCAGGCATGTGCCCTTGACCAGAGTTGAACCTGAGACCCTTCATTCCACAGGCCAACGCTCTATTCACTGAGCCAAACTGGTTAGGACTATTTCTGATTTTTGAAAGCTGTAATTGTTCATTTGTTTTATGGCGAAGACCATATTCCTTGTTGTGTGTAGTCATTGCAGTCTCTGTTCCGTTAGCTTGTTTTCAGCTACTGTTTAACAGATTATCTTGACCCCCAGGAGCTAAAAGCATAACAAAATACCCACCTCTCTTAGTCTTTGGAGATTGGCTTGTGATGGGCCACTCATTCAGCACAGCCAAGCTATTTACAGCTCTGCCTCCGCCTTTACCTTCTGTTTGCACTCAGCCTAAAGAGCAGCCAGATTTAGCCAGAAAAGCCTTTTACCTTTTTCAGAATTGAAAGCTTTGGGTCTTCTCAGGTGTTTTCTGTCTATACATCCGGGCCTGGACATGCATGTAGCTTTCTAAAATTACTCAGGATTCATGGGCAATTGTTAAAGCCCCAATTATCCAAAGAATCTCTCTCCTACTTTTCCTCCCAGGCCTTCGACAGCCTATGTATGTTTCAGTGATAATCGTTTATTCCACACAACTGTGGGGTTTTTGTTTGCCTTATAATGTTTTTAAGCAATACCTACCACTTTCCACCCTGACCGAGTTCCAAGTTAGGCAAAACAGAGATAAGTACTTTATGTAAGCCCTTCAGAGAAGTTAGAACAAACACAGTATTTTTGCTCTGTTTCTCCTAGAAATAGGTGCCAGGGTCCCACACTGGGCACATGGGCTGCTGTCATCAAGCCCGCCACCAAGACAGCAGGTGACGGCACACACGCTGTTATCTTTGGCCTCATTTTCACTGTATTTTTTTTCTCTAAAAACTGTCTTTCATAAAATATTAATATTTTTGCCAAACCGGTTTGGCTCAGTGGATAGAGCGTCAGCCTGCGGACTGAAAGGTCCCAGGTTCGATTCCGGTCAAGGGCATGTACCTGGGTTGTGGGCACATCCCCAGTGGGAGATGTGCAGGAGGCAGCTGATCGATGTTTCTAACTCTCTCCCTTCCTCTCTGTAAAAAATCAATAAAATGTATTTTAAAAAAATATTAATATTTTGGTAAATAGAACAATCATGTAATGCTCACAGTTTTAAACACTCACTGATACCTTCTTGCTTGTTCCACTAGATTCTAAATTTCATCTCCAGATCCTGCAGTTACTATCTGTTAAGGAGGCAGCTTTGAGAGTATTTTTACATTCAGGATTCCTGCTTGGACAAGAGCCATTTTTAGAGAAAATTGATTTCTTCTTTGAATTCAGATCTGGGTAGAAGCAAAATGCAGCAGAGTAGGCAAAGAGCTTTTTAAACTTTTGTCACTCTGAGTTTTTATATATTCGGTATTAATTGCATTTGTGTTATACTTTGGATACTGGAATTTTTTATCTTTGGGCATATTGGGTCCTGTATTTTTGGACATGAGCCCTTCAGTTTTGGAAAAGTTCCCGTTATCAGTGTGGTTCAACAAAACCAGTTCTTGTTTTCTGGCATTTCCTAGGTTTACCATGTACTCTTATTCCCCCAGACCCGGAAATAGCTTTTCTTTCCATTACTGAAAGTTAATATTTAGAAACCACAAATCTGGCCCACTGGCTTGGTTTTGTTCTAGGCTTTTTCTGTCTATCTAGGGAATGCCTGTGGTGTGATATGGAGGGAAGGGCATGAGGACAATAGGGGCAATGCCCAGCATTACTTCGGTGGAGGCACAGTCCTTCATAAGTTAAACAAAGAATGAGCCCTCAGCTATACACAGTCGGGTCCAACTACAAACGTGGAGAGAGGGCTTCATACAGGGCCTCTGTCACTTCTGGCCCCAACTACAACCTCTCAGGTTTGACAGTATGTTAGCAGGTTTCACAGAACTCACTGGAAGCGTTTGCATTCATGACTACATTTACTGCAGGGAAAGGAATAATGTGTAGGGCCAAATAGGAGAGCTGTGCAGGCGCAGAGCTTCAGCTGTCCTCTCCCAGGAGCATAGATGGGGTTTCCTTCTCCTGACCCTGGTGCATGCCAGTGTACAGTGGGCTCCCACACAGGGAAGCTCACCCTTGGTGCCTTGCTTTGTATTGAGGCTTTATTACATAGGCATGACTGAGTCATTGCCCACATGGTTGAGCTTACTTTTACCTTGAATTATATGTTTGATCTTTCTGGTGTGGCGTCCTCCCCCCTGAGTCAGCTATCTCCCTTGCATAAATTATCATGTGTGATGAAAGGTCAGACCTCTCTTGGGGTGAGGACAAATTTATTGCTTACTCAGGCAGCTGACATTTTTATGGTATGTAGAATAGAAAGAAAATTTATTTATTTTTAATCTCTTTTCGCTCTAGAAATTACAGAAGAAATTCCCCTGAACACTTTGAACACGAAGACTGTGTATCTTTCTGTATTTCCAACAACGGCTGACTTCTAACTTTCTGTTATCAGTGTGGTTCAGTCAACCTTT